CGCGCGGCCTGCGGACGCTGCCACGCCTGGCGTGGATGTTTTGAGATTCGCTAAGGTTTGTCAAGAATTGCGAGCGTGCATGTTCAAACTACGTGCGTGATTCTTGCCACTTATCGATTCTGACGAAATGTTGAACACTTCCAGGCAAACATAGCTTGGCCACGTTCGTGCAAACTGTTGCCCATTTTGATATGCAATCCGCGTTTGCGGGGTCCCTGATATCTCTGTAGAACCCAGATAAAAATTATGACGCAGCTTCTGAGTTCTGCCGGTTTAGAACGAATGCGATGAGCCACTGAAAATGGATGGCACCGGCGTTTTTATTTCATTTAGTCGTTTTTACGCATGCTTTCTTCAATTTATTGAATATAAATTCAGTCAGAATTTATCTCGCGGTAGCTTCTAGCTTCTAGTTCAGCACTAGAAGGAAAAAATGAAAACATATCAATGAAAAGCATGCTCTCATATGAACTGGGCCCGCAGCTGGCAATGTTTTTTGTGCGGGGTCCTGTTCACTATCAGGGGCACTTCGTCGACCCCGTGCACCTCCCCCCCCCCTTGCCAAGGCTGCGCGTCACGACTGGGACTTCAGGATGAAATTTTTGTTCGATTATTTTTTTACGGAATAACCTCTGATCTGCTGTGATCGCGGTGCTAAAGGTTTTGGTACCTAGGTGTATAGCGGCTTTCAAAAAGGCAGAAAAATGAAGGTCTTGGGCTTGACGGTTCATGTTTTACAGCGTCTTTGCCGAGGTAACGCCGGCGACATTTTGCTGAAAAATAGGCTTAATTGCTAACCACAGGAACTGCACTCCAAACCGGTTTTCGAGACAGCTGGTTTTGACCCACCCTGAAGTGGATTACCACCATTCTGGTGACCCTTATAACGCCTGGAGTCGAGTCTGGTCGTCCGGAGTCGAATCATTCTGGAGACTTTTACGTCTGGTCGTCCGGAGTCGAGCGATTCTGGTGACTTTTACGTGTGGTCCGTCCGGGTCGAACAAACCATTCTGTTGACTTGCGTCTGGTCGTCCGGATATGATGCATTCCGGGACTTTTACAACGTCTGGTCGTTCCGAGACGAAACCATTCTGGTGACCTCTAACAATGTCTTGCCATCCCGATTCGACCAGCCCGACCGACCTGTTTTTCATTTGTGATAAGTGTTTGAACCAGAGGCTGATTTCGCAAAATTAGTGTGGGGCTGGAGGGGGGGGGGGGGGGGGCAGATAAGTTAAAAAAAAAATGAACGCAGCCCATCCCCGAAATAGCCGGTCAAACAGTTTCTCACCTGATTTAGAGCCAACTTTCAATCAAAATTGGGGGGGCTCCCCCTCACAATGAATACGAAAGTACGTTGCTGGGTGAATTTTCTTATTCGAGACTTCCAATTTCATGAAATTCACACGATCAAAACCTAGACGGCACATATCTTACAGCTTGGGAATGCATTGATGGCGCTGTTCCCGCTCAGTGACGTGGCTTGTTGAGTGTTGGCTTGTCCACGTAGCTGAGCGGGGGCCGTTGCTGCAACAACTTCACCCGTTGGCCCGACATTGCATCGCAGCCCACAGGGGTCGATGTCTGCGCCACCTTTCGAAAACTGTTACCCCCATGACGCTCTGGGAGAGCGTCCGTCCATTCGCCGGCACCCACTTCACGAGGCTGCCGCCAGCAGAGGGCGGCCATTTTGCGCGCGCTCGCGTGGCGGTCCGCCGGGCCCAGACGGCGCGAGCCTGGACCGGACGCCGCTTTGTGTACAGGCGCCGGGACATCCCCTAGTTCAGACAGTTCGCCAGCTCCCGGCCGAACGGCTGCTTGACCCGTGACGTCACTGATCGCCCGCGGCCGGCCGCTGGGTGTGCCTATGTCAGCTGATCACCAACACCCCCGCAGCTGATGCCGCCAGCCGCTCGACATTAATCACGAGCAAGCGCACTCTCTGCCCCTGTGAGACACCTGGATACACTGGGAGGAGAGCAGTCCCTGGCATTTTGCACGAACAAAACCGATCAAACGTGAGCCAAGTGTACTTGTCAACTTGCGTAATGCTCGGTTTGGTCACAGATGTCAGGACTGTCAGCGGAGCAGTGCAACAGTACGCTAGCAGCACATATCAGGTTATGGTATGGCGATTGCAAGGCCGAAAACTGCACACCACTGGCCACTTCGTCGCCTCCAATCTCGTCAAATGGCATCAAGTGAGCGCGTGCTGACTGACGCCCGACCAGCACAGCGGCAACATTCAGTAAAGGCAACGCGCACTCAGCCCGGTCACAATCACGCTCCAGCACCGTCCACAACAGCCGGGCAACAGGGGTCACGGACCGCGCACACGACCAGCGGGGGTGCACACACAACTGTGCCACCCTCACACTTCGCCAAGGCCGGAGCGATTGCCGAGCGGGAGGGTGCGGGCCAAAGCCGCCGCCGCCGCTCTCCCTCCCGGCACGTCGTCTGCTGACCCCGCGTGCCTTCCACCGTCGTGCTAACCGGCGCTCTGCTGAGCGGCGGCGGGCAGGAGGTGCAGGGGCCAAGCCGCCGCCGTCCGGCCAGCTCCGGACTCGGCTGACCCCGCGTGCCACCGTCGTGTGCCGGCGCCCCTGGGCGCGGACTGAGGAGGTGCTGACCCAGCGCGCCTCCGCGTCCCCGACGTCGCGTCGCTCGCCTAGCGTCGTTCCTGCCGGCGCTTGCTGAGCGGCGGGGGCGGGGAGGGCGTCCATTCGTCTGCGACCTGCCCACCACCCAAGCACACAACCCGCTGTAGTCGCCGCTGACGAAGCCGGTGTGACGAGGTCGACAGGGGTCGCCGCGGGCCAGCGGCGCAAGACGACCGGCCGCGGCCGGACTCCCGTGTGGTCGACCGCCCGCCAGCGCTGGACTCCTCTCGCGGATCGCGGTGAGCGGGCCGGCGACCTCAGGCTAGCTCGGGTCAGTCCGGTGTTCCTCGGGTCGCGGACCATCAGCCGTGTCTGGTCCTGCTGCGGTGCCGCACGGTAAGAGCTGGGCCAGGCCTCATTCCCAGCCCCTCCCTTCCTCTGCGGGCCTTAGGTCTCCTTGTCACGCGAAAAAAAAAACAAAGCGAAACGAGGAACGCAACGACAACATCTCACAAAGATGATTGGGAGACGCCAGCACGCCTGCCGAGCACTGTCACTAGCAGGGAGCTGGACTAGTTCTCGGCCACCATGGCGCCGAACTGGTGGTAGAAGGTGGTGACGATCCTCTTGAGCGGGTCCACCAGCAGGTAGAGGAAGTTCTGCGGATGCCCCCGGGTCGCGCGGCACCAGGGTCGCCGCCGTCAGGCGGACCTGGCCGTGACCTTGAGCACGTGACTGATGACGGTCAGGCCGGCGGAGTCGGCCGACTTGCAGACGCTGCGGCGACACAGCGCCGGTCAGGGCCGGCCGCAGCCGGTGGCCCGGGAGCGGCGAGGTGGCGGGACCACCGCTGACGCGCCTGGAGCGGGCGGCCCCCGAGGGAACTGCACCCTTCTGCATTCCACACCCTGAGTGTGCATGTCGATAAAGTATCCGACAGTAACTACATCCACGTGTAGTGACTGTGGTGAACTGTAGTGACTGTAACGACTGGTAAACTGCATTGGGCTGTTGTGACTAGAAGTCTGTAGGGACGAGTAGACTAGTGACTAGTAGACTGTAGTGACCGTAGTAGACTGTAGCGACCAGTAGACTGCAGTGACTGTGGCGACTGCACCGACTGTAGTGCACAGTCACATTGCACCAGCCACCGGAGGGTGTTCCTGTCGGGCTGCTGGCGCACCGCCGCCAGGGGGTGTTCCCTGTCGGGGCCCGCTGGCGCACAGCGCGGTCGCCCACCTGACTAGCTCCTTGTAGATGAGTCGCGTCGCGTCGAGGTAGGGCTGCACGCTGTCCTCGTACTGGCACCAGCGGCCGCCCAGCGCCAGGTGCGCCAGCAGCCGGTACAGAAACTGGCGCCGCTCGTCCGCCGCGAACACGCCGTCGTAGTCGGACTCCTCTCCTGCCAGCAGCTGCCGCCGCCGCCGGCCGGTGAGGCACAGGCCGCCCGCCAGCGCCGGCGCGTCGGCTCCCAGCTCGCTGTGTCGGCGGCCCCTGACCTAGGCCGGCGGCCTCTGACCTCGGCCGGAGGTCACGGTTAGCGGTCATGGTCAGCCGTCAGCGGTCAGAGGTCACGGTTACGGGCAGCCGCCGCGGTCAGAGGCCACGGTCACGGTCAGCCGCCAGCGGTCAGAGGTCACGGTCACGGTCAGAGGTCACGGTCACGGTCACGGTCACGGTCAGCCGTCAGCGGTCCGAGGTCACGGTCACGGTCAGCCGTCAGCGGTCAGAGGTCACGGTCACGGACAGCGTTGGTGTCATGAAATTACTCTGGATCGTAATGAAACCACCAACGACACATTTCGATCTGACATATGATTTATTGCAGTTACATTTCAGCCACAAATCAAACTGCCCACTGAAGTGAGCAACTGGCTTAGCCGAAGGTGAATGAAACCGCGCTAGGTCTTGCGGAGGAAATTGGTTCAGATGGTGGGGACCAGGGAGACTGATGAGAAAATCCCTCAAAGATCATTGGCTCATGAAAAAATATCAACCGTCGAGAAGGTAAACAATTGCCAAGCAAAAGATCATGCGATGACCATCGTACGCGCCTAATCTAGAGATATCTGGGTGCACTCAGAGTTCGGCAAGATAGGTGTCACGTTCCCTCACAATCATTCTCAGGCACGAACACTGTATCGTGCAATATATTACTCAGAAGAATACTTGGCCTGTGTATACTTCAGGAGATACGCACCTTGCGGAGCTCATCCGCCAGCACCACATCGCCTACCCAGACCTCCATACACTTCCTGATGGTGCCGTCCTCCCTGACGACGCCGCTGTCGATCAGCTTGTCGAACATGGCCAGCGAGGTCTCGGTGCAGGGCACCTCCTCGACCGACACCGCCTCGGCGGGCGCTCCTACCGAGGTCCAGAGGTCAGGTCACGAGGTTCAGAAGTCAGCTTAGTGGAAAACGAAGCGGACACACATTGTCAATGGTGCGTCATGTTTCAAAGAGCAGACTTGATCATGTTTCAGAGTGCAGACTTCATCATGTTTCAAAGAGCAGACTTCATCATGTTTCAGAGTGCAGACTTCCCGGTTAGCTTAGGTTCGTGGCCTGTCATTGCCTTTTGAACGGCATGGCACTTGCATGGGAACAAACGATGTCACTAAGTACGAAATCAATATAACTCCGATATATTACCCTGATGAAGTGAAGGTCACCAGGGTCATGGCTGACGACGGGGTTGTGACAAGGACCACTCATGACCATAACACGCTGGAAGGTCAGGAAGTGACCCAGTTAGATAGATCAATTATGAAGACCGCAGCAAGACCGCACTATGATACATTGCCGGAATATCTCAATTGCATCAACGTTTAGGACCCGCATATTCAGATTTAAGCTGTCCTAGGTCCCTGATTTGAAATGATCTGGACTGAGAAATGTTGTAGTGTACGTGAATACATACACCAGAAAGCATCGAAAATTTCCAAATGGATAGCTTAAACTGTTTTCCAACTGTTCCTGCAGGGTCATGGGGGACGAGTGGAAGCCTGACCTCTTCTCAGACAGCGCAAAGTTAAGAGGGTGCCGTGGCGGGCTGATGTCCCGTCATATGATGACCCTGGACATTACGGCATGACGGCACTGTCCCGTCGGACCGTAGTGTTACGCACCTGACCGCTGCGACATTGCGACATTGCGACCGTCATCACGTGACACACAAAACGGCGATCACCCCGATCACCAGCACAGACGGTGCGCGCGGCCAGACACGGACGCCAGGCGGCGATTCCGATCAGGGGGGGGGGGGGGGAGGGGGCTCTCATTCCGTACGGAAGACATTGGAGGCTGGGACCCGGGCCCTCTCTGGACGAACACGACAGGCCCGGCCCTGTGGCGTCGACAACAGACACACCACTGAAAACGGCAGCGTGGGAACGCCCTGCCTTTGAAGGCGATCTTCAGCCCACGGCTCTAACGCAGCCCTGACTCACCCAACACACACCAGCTCCCCGAACTGCTGAGGACCTTCAGGGTCGACAAGACTTCCGTATCCGCCAAGAACTCCTGAGGGACAGAATGTGTATAATAATGCGAAAGATAGCGTGACACGAGGTAATGTAGGAAGAGGGCAGCGCAGCCAACAAGCAATGACCGTGACCGTGCGCCCGTGTGTCTTTGCCCCGCCTCAGCCGGAAACGCTGATCTTCACCGTTGCGAGAGCGCAGCTCGCCGAGCTCGAACGAGACAAACGCGTCCGGAGCTAGCGCATATCCAGGGAGCGTTACTGACGCACAGAGGCACCCGGCCGACGGGCGGGGAAACACCTCGTCCCACAAAACAGCACGAGGCGTGTGGCCTGGATCCCCGTTTACTGGCATAGCGACCATGGACTCTTGACTGATAGCTCGGCTGCTTTTTTAGTCACAGTCCCAATACCGACTTGCCCCTGGAGCGAGCAAGCCTCTCTCACCTTCACCCAGTCCTTCGCTTCGTGGACGCCGAGGTGCTTGTCGTAACAGTACGCCTGCACTGATATCCTGCCCAGCATCGACCTGCGGAATAAGGCGGAACGGTCGGCGCTGCCATTGGTCACACACTGTCCGTCCGATGTGTCGCTCGATCAGACACCAGACACCTGATCGCTTGATAGGACACCTGATCTCTTGATCAGACACTCGATCGCTTGATAAGACACCTGATCGCTTGACCAGACACTTGATCGCTTGACCAGACACTTGATCGCTTGATCAGACACTTGATCGCTTGATCAGACATCTGATCGCTTGATCAGACACCCGATCGCTTGATCAGACGCTTGATCGCTCGATCAGAAGCAGCCCGACGGGCACTGGCCACTGCCAAAGCTGGAACTAGCATTCAATACGTTTCTACAGCGGCAGCTGGTTACAATTTACACACCGAATCCACGGCGCTAGCGGAGGCATAGCTTCCCAACACAATGCACGGATACAGCGGGACACCAACGACAGAACTGGTACGGCATGCCTGTCGGTGGGAGCCCCCGGCAATACGAACAGGCTGCTTTTTCAATGCTTCAGGCCATCTGACGTGACTACCGCCATGCGTTCCGTTCGGCAACTGTTCCCCCCCCCCCCCCCCGCGCGACGATAGTCTTGGACCCGGCCTGGTCGTCTTCGCCGCGTGGAGGAGAACAGGACTTGTGCCGGCCAGGCTCCGGCGGCCTTGAACGTACGTGCAAAAGCGCAGTGCATACCGTGCGGAAGCGCCTCAGTCGGACAACCCCATGATTCGACAGGCAAAACAATCCACGTCGCACAGCGGGCGGGACGAGGGTGACCGCCCTTCCCGCCGGTCTACGCTGTCCGGTAACGGACAGAGCATCGGGTGTCGGGCGGCGAAGGGCTGCAGCCGATCGTCTGTGTGGTTGTTTGGACCAGTGCCAATTATGCGTCGCTATATCTGAGCTCGCAGATACGAACAGCGTCTGGCGCTGGGGGTTCAGGTTGATACAAGTAATATGGGAGGGACGAAGTTCTCCAAATGTGTATTTTTTCGGTCCCGGATGAGGTGTGCTGCGAATGGAGAACAGAGGAAAATATGAGAGAAATAGTAGGCCCGCCCAAAAGAGAGCCAACGCTCCATCCACGGCTCGGGTCGACGCTGGAGGACAGCAAAACAAGACAGCACAGCCGAGCAGCCCGAGTGAGCACCTTGCGGCAAGCCGTTACGACTGGGGCAACGTCGACGGGAGCTGGTTAATTCTCCACCCATGGCTGGAGTTCAGATGATTTCGAGGCTGATAATCCGGGGACGAAACCGTGATGACAATATAATTATCGGCCACCAGACAGGGGCGTGGCCAGAATTGCGCTCAAAAGAGGGCCAAACGGGGTCATGGCGAGTCCTTCCAGCCAACGGATCCCTCTTCATTGCTTAGGGTGCTTTTCGGATTCGGAAATACGCATGCGTCGCTGCGTCCCATTTACAAGCCTCCATATCAGTTTTTAAAATGTGTTAGGAGGCCTGCAGGCGTCTTGTAACTGTCAGCAGCACTGAGATTTTCGGCCACAGGAGGCCGCTGCCCCTCCGGAAGACATGGCCCCAGGAGCTCCCCTTCGGCTGCACCACTGCTGCCCGCAGAGTTTCGCTCCACCGGGCGCTGGAGACGTCCCTGGCAACTCCACCGAGCGCTGGAGACGTCCCTGGCAACTCCACCGAGCGCTGTAGACGTCCCTTGCAACTCCACCAAGCGCTGGAGACGTCCCTGGCAGCGTCCCCTCAAACATCAAGTCATCGGAGAGGATTGAAAGACAACGGACACTTTGCAGACGATTCTTAATTTTGTATTCTCTTTCATGGACGGTCCGATTCAAAAACTTTTTATATTCCCAGCAGACGTGGAAGAACGGAAAGTCGTGCCATGTTTCAGAGCAGCATTGCAAGTGATCAAATTGGAGCACGATCCAAATCCTTTCAGACTAAACATAAAGCCAAAACTTCGTAGAATAATTGCAGCGATTCATGTAAAAAAGCCAAAATTGATCATGGGGCAGCTCATAACTACTCACGCACTAAAACTGATGCAGACGAGTTGCAGGCAAACATACGTCCTCTTACATCAGGCGTCCCAAACAACAAAACATTGTTTACCATTTCATCAAACATTCTGTGATGTTTTTGTTCTTCAAGAAGTTCCACTCCTTGTTATTAATGTGTTTGAAGCGAAACGCCTCCATAGCTGCGTCCGAGCTGCTCCCAGCCAAGCCTGGCTGCAGCCCCCCGCCAGGTATGTGCCGCTCACCTGCAGAAGCAAGTCCCATGTGAGTGAGCATGGAGTCGACGCTGCGTGACCATAGGCCGTCGACATGCGCAAAAGCTCCAAACCACCACCATAATGTGCATAGAAAACATAATCGGCCGATTGTAATGCACAGAAGCCGTCTTCCTCCTGACCCCGTCTCCTGACGAATGATGCACCCGTGGGAAAGGGGACCGGGAGCAAGTGACCAACATCCCATTTGTTTACTCGCATAATATGCACTTAAATTACATGCATGCAAAAAAACATACTTCTGGCTTTTTGATACTCGCTTTCGGCTTCCCGCCAAACTCAGCATGAAGGGGGATGCTGAACTTGGCTTGCCCTCAAACGCCCGGGTGTACGCACGTCACGTTTGAAACAAATAATGGTGCAGGTTTCTCGCCTTGCTTCTGTTGGGCCAGTCAGCTGTGTCAACAGTCAAAGCGTACCCGCAGCTTACGACGACTGCGGATCCAGCATGAGTACTTCTTTGCTGTTGAGTGGTCAACCCGTTATCACATCGACATTTCGAGACGTGACTTACCCGACATTCTGTTGGCTGGGTCCCCAGGAAACCCGTGGGCTTTAGGTATATATGTAAGAATACATAACCATGCCTGGGTGTGGGTGAGAGACACGAGGTGTTTTAAGCAACATTCTACAAGAACAGTTCCCCCCCCCCAAACGAAAGTCTAGGTCCGCCCCTGCTCAGCATACGTCAGAAAGGCCAAAAGCAGCGTGATCGCAAACGCGTTACCGCGGGCGTGGGAACGTCCATGAAAGTGTAGATTGCCAATTTAAAGACAGTATTACATGCATCGCCACTGGGATGATGTAAGCATTCTCCAAAGTGAGGTCCGCAGCCGCCCCCTCACCCCTCCCCCCCTCGGTTCCCATGCCTTATATACCGATGCGTATGGTGACCCCCTCTTGAAGACCGCAAAAAGTCTTAGATAAGGGGGACGTACTCATTTGCGCTAGTCGAAATTCAAACCGCACATCGGAATAAAAACCGGACACATAACATGATTTCTTCACACGACTTCACACCAACGATAGTTAAAACAACAACGAAACTGTGTCATCTTACGTTCAAGTGGCAATAGTTATGGGCTCGCGCCGGCAACGGCGCTCGAAGTGCGCACTAGCAGCAAAAGATGGCGCTGGTCGTTGATTGGTCGATGAGCCAGTTAGGCATGGATAACTTCGCGAAATTGGCAGCAGTCCGTAGTTCAGGTGTGGTGTTTGCACTACACCCGTGGTGTATTTTCAGGTGGTTATGCCTAGTTCTATAGATATTTAATACCACTAGATCAGCAAGCCCATGTCAAATTACCAGCAGAAGTGTGCGATCGAAAGAGGGGCATCAGCTGTAAAATAGTATGCACTGGCAGGCAAACTGGACAAAATAAGGGAAGTGGGGCAGGTTACGGCCAACCCAGACTGATTGTGTTTTGTGAAGCGCATGAGCTCGTCAGCTGAATCGACGCCCCATTCGCCTTCGTCGTATATGTTATCGGTAAGCCATACCCCGGCCGTTTACTATGTCAAACTAGATAAACTTTTCAACATATTGCGTACCCCCACCCTCCTCCTTAGGATTATCCCAACAACACCAGCAGAGTACCACTGAGAGCCAACATTACTTGATTCCACTTTAAAAATGCTGTAGGGGCGGGGCCAAGCCCCACCGCTTAGGTTTAAACCCAAGAAAGCGGAAACAAATGATAAAATCGGCCTCATCAGGTTAGTGACGTCATTTGCTACCAACATTTCTCCTGAGCGGAGGTGCTACACTCAGACCATCTCCCTTCAGCACTTCAAGGACCTCAAAGTCGGGCGATGTCATGGCGTGCACTGTGTCGTCGCGGCGGGACCCGGTGGTCAGCGTGCAATGCATGGAAGTGTTGTTCTCTTATCAGTATTGCAACATCTTGGGAAATTAAGGCATTGGGTGCTGAGCAGAATACCGTGCACATCGTAAAACATGGTAAATAACTACCTTCGCAAATTCAGCCCGTGGGTATTTGGTTCAATCATGCCCTCACCTCCCACAGGGTCAAGTACCTCCGCAAGGACCCTGTCTGTCTCCCAACATCACCTAAGCTATGGTTGCAGGAGGGCAACCACGACATCAGCTATAATCTGCTGTGGTCAGTGCCTACGTGAGTGCCCTAGTAGTAACAACCAGAGAGGGCAAGCAGCGCGCACCAACAGTAAACACTAACCTTGCCCGACAATCCCTGCCGCCCCCGCAAACAGCAGTTCCGAAGCTGTCACTGACGCCTGAAATACGAGGCATGCAGAAGCCTTGTTGTTGCTATGGCAACCACAAGGGAGGAACTAAACGATCGACAAAACCTGCGGATAGCCTCATGTGCCGAACTTACAGGACGGATCGACACCAAACCTTCACGAGTCCATGCCACTTAGTCGAAAACCTGCGCTGTCCACAAAATGGTGACCTTGGCTCGGGTCAAAGGTCATCAAAATATCATAAAGCTTAAAAACCGGTTTGCAGAAGACCCTTGCTCCAAGCCCATGCGACCGATCTTTACAAAACCCTCACTAGTGGGCGCGCTATAATTAATATTCCACCCTTTCCAGAAGATAATGACCTTTGGTAATGTCAGAGGTCACCAAATGACCCCCGAAACCATCGAAATTTGCTGCGGACAGCCCCATGCTCCAAACATATGGAGCTGATTAGCGCGAAACCTGTAATATATGCGCAGTGGGCGATAATTTTTCTTTCAAAAAAGATAATGACCTCAGGTCCTGTCAAAAATCACCAAAAACGCAGGAGACCGACAAAAGCAGTCGGCAGTTGGCTCAATGCTACACACTCATGACACAGAGTGTCACAACACTTGCATCTCAGATGTGCCGGGGTCGATATTCAATTCTTTAGGGAAAATGATGACCTTGGGTCATCTCAAAGGTAGCCAAAAATGTCCGAAATCGCCTAAATTGGTTGAAGATATCTCTATGTTGTGAGTTTGTGGGACCGATCACCACACAAGTTTCACTGCTTGATGTGCCATAGTTGATAATCTGCTCTATCCAGAAGATCGGACCTTGGGTCAGATTAAAAGTATACAAAAAGTCCCGAAACTGACAAAACTGATCGTTGGCGGTTTCAAACATTCCGTTGTCAGCAGT